CTTAAGAATATACGCTGCTCTTGCAGAGGAACTGAGCCCAGTTCCTAGCACCCACATAGGGTGGCTAACAACAGCCTGTAATAGCAGCTCCAAGATCCAACAGTCTTTTCTGGATTCTGTAAGCCCTGTCCTCACATGCACATACCCACATAGAGACAACACATAAACACGTAATTTAAAATAGAATAAAAAATTAAAACAAAGAACAATGAAACAAAGCAGAAAGGGAAAAGGGTCATCTCTATATGCATTTATTTCTCAAAGAGGTCATTCAAGCCAGTTAAAGTGATGTAAAGGAAGGTTTCAAATACAGGGGTTATCAGCATTTCACTGTGGGAAGATAGAAAATAGTTGACATTTTACTCTGCAGGGCTGTTAAAAGGATCAAGTAAAATAGTGCACATGAAGAAAGTCTTTATCAACTACATAAAAAGTCACCATATCAATCTCAGTTTCACCATCATTAGTGTTCTTAAGGGCTTGCAATGTATAGTCACTCTTTTGGGAAATTTTATATTAAGGGCCTACTTTGTACCAGGCTTATCCTGAGATGCTGAAGAAGTAAGATTTAATTTACACCCTTGGGGCTTCATTCCGTTTAGAAAGGTATAATGTGATGTCATGACTCAGGCAATTTAAAGATGCCACTGAAGTGTCTAGACACCCTTGGAACAGTGAGTCATCTGCCATGTTCCATGTGCTTAGCGCTTGCTCATTCTGTCATGTCTGCAAGGTTTCCTTGGAAAAAGCCCCACTTCCTTTGGACACCATACTAGCTCTCAGTTCTAACACTATGCTGTTCGAGATGGAGCCAATCAAGCTGAAGGATAGATTTTGGGGGCCTGTTTCAAAGCTGACTTATGATGTCTTTCCCCTACCCTATGATTCTGACCATTAGTGATATATCTGAGCCTGGGGTTTGGTGAGAAAGAATGACAGGTTTGGAACTGGGAATGGGGGTTGGAAAGCTATCTGAAGACCATGGCTTGGAGTTAAATTTTATAAGACCTGAATGTTTCAGTTAACTCCTTTTGTTTTTATTATTGTTAACTATGACGTTTTGTTCCTACACACACACACACACACACACACACACACACACACACATATTTCTACAGATGTTAGATTTTTAGTATTATAATTGATAAAGTGCATCTAAGGAGAATTTGGGAAGTCATTTCTAAGGACAGGAAAGACATGTAATAATTGTAGGGATGCAGGAGAAATTTGCAGACAGCCCCCAGCTGACTATTGGAGTCTGGGGCATCATTAGAAAAATGCTAGAATTTGAGACACAAAGACCTACCTTTATCAGGACTCTGCAGCCAAATAAACAGAATAAGCCTCAAGCATCAATATCCAAAATATTGACACACATAATAGAAATTCATGGGATAGGAATTAGAGAAAATTTTGATCTTTTTCTTTTATCCCATTTTTCCCTACATCCACCTCTATTGTTAGTCAGTGGTCACCTTTCCTAAAATCAATGAGCCTCAGGCTTTTGTCTGCTGAATGGCTGAAAGCATTGGGCCATAAGCCCACTCCCTGTTGTTCTGTTTGTCCAGGACCCCAGGCAGCGGCCGTAACGGTCTGGTCAGACACTGTAGGCTCTCTCATTCATCTTGGCAGAGACATCAGCTTCCTGTGATGGGAAATGTGACTGCTGCAGCTCATTCGTCCTCTTCCTGGGGAAGAGTAAGTCAGCGCAACCCTGTTGTCCCTCTGCACAGCCAAGGTAAACTGCAAGGTAAACTGGTTCCCGCTGGATGTTCCCAGACAGAATCTGCCCTTGAAAGGCCTATTAGATGGCTTCTCCTGCTGTTGGGCACATTTAAGGGACTCTGCTTCAAGACAATCCAGCTTTAGGTGATCACAGCCAGTGATAAAGCCAGGCCCTGTTATCTCATTTAACTCTCCTGAGAAAACTAGGGAATAGGCTAAAGTCTTCATTAATTGAACAAATGTGAGTTCCTGCTGTGTGCCTGACGTTGTTAAAAGGGCTTGGGACCTGAGGCGATACCTCAGTCAGTAAAGTGCTGGCTTCATAAGCAAGAAGAGGATCAAACCTGAGTCTGATCTCTAGCACCCATGTAAAAAGCTGGGCATGGTGGCTCATGCTTATAATCCCAGCATTGGGGAGTCAGAGCAGTCCCTGGGGCCTGTGGACCAGCCTGCCTAAAAACAGCAAGCTCCAGGTCCCAGTGAGAAACCATGCCTCCAAAATCAGAGTGGGCTGCTCCTGAGGAACAACATCTGAGGTAGACTGCAGCATCCACATACATGTGCACATACATTGGTACACACATGTACCCATCGGCAAGTAAACAGAGAAAGGAAAAGAGAGAGAAAGAGAGACAGAGACAGAGAGACAGGGAGTCAGAGACAGAGAAAGAGAGGGAGAGAGAGAAAGGTTATTTTAAAAGGGCTTGGCATATCTTAATACAAAGATCTTTGCATGTATAGAGCTTATATTATAAGGCAGAGGTGGGAGAGTGGGAATGGAGGATTTTTTTGAAAAGCAATTTTAAGTTGAAAATTTCTGAAAAACCTTATCTTCCTTTGCAGGCCCTCCAGAATCCTTATCTGCACAACTACTTGACAGCTATTACAAAAATGCAAATGGTTTAGAATATAGCACAGGGTTAGAACACTTAGGATGCACAAGGTCCTGAGTTTGATCCTTAGCACTGCAAGAAAACAAGAAACTTTTGCTTAGGTTCAATTTTCAGTACACACACACACACACACACACACACACACACACACACACACACAAGAGAGAGAGAGAGAAAGACAGAGACAGAGAGAGAGAGAGAGCGAGAGAGTGAGAGAGACAGACAGAGAGAGACAGGCAGAGAGAGACAGAGAGAGACAGAGGCAGAGACAGAGAGAGACCGAGAAAGACAGAGACAGAGACACAGAGAGTCAAATTCAACACACACACACACACACACACACACACACACACACACACACAAGAGAGAGAGAGATAAAGACAGAGACAGAGAGAGACAGAGAGAGACAGAGAGACAGAGACAGAGGGACACAGGGACAGAGGGACAAGGAAGAGATTAAGTTCTAAGCATTTTATGTTTGACGTTGGGTATACAAAAGATCAATGGGTTTTTGCATCCTTCAGATACACTAAGTGGAGAGAGACAATATACAGTTAGAATGTAGTCTAAGTGTTTTCCTAGGGACATCTGTGAAGGGTAAATGGACAGGAATGCCTCATCTGAGCCTCTAGCTGACTAAGACTCTCTGTCCTCCCAATTCCCCACTAGATATGCTCTTCTGGGCCACCCACTGACACCACCTATGATATATTCCTTTGAAGCCTGACAAAGCGAATATCTTGCTAATGTGGTAAGCACATCACCAGACTGAATAGCTGTTTTTGCTTGCTCATTTAGACAAATTACTTACCCAGCTTTGAGTACCTTGCAACAAAAGGGGCTGATTACACTGTAGGAAAAGACACTGTCTTGGCAGATAGGGAGGGGACATTGTTTCCTACCTATTCTCCTTTTTCATCAGAACCTGCATCCTCTCCTGGAAAACTGGTATCTAGTTTTCCCTTTGGCTAACACAACGTTGGAGTGGTTATACTGTGAGAGCACACAATTTCAAAGGTCTAACAATCCTTGGAATTTCAATATGAATTTCAGGGGTTCTTAGCAATGTGTCCATGCATGTCCTTTGGGAAGTCTGAGGACTCTTGGCATTCTTCACACACTTGTGCATAAATATATTCAGTACATTTTTCCTCCTGATGACGAGATCTAGAGTTTTCATCAGATTTCTATGGAGGCATAGTAAATAAACATTGCCCTCATTTTAAATGATGCATTGAAGTTTTTCAGAGAAGTAAAAGTGGCTTGCCAGGACAGAGCAGTTACACTGAAGAATGGAAGAAAAAAAGAAGGAAGAGACCTCAAGGAAGGGTTGGCATGGGAACTCAACTCAAGTTTCCTGTTGTCTATACCAACACTTCTTGTGCCTACTCCAGCTCATAGATCTCTGGTCTTTGATTCAGGATCTGCCATAGTTGCAGCAGCATCCCTAGGCATGCCCACTCCCCTCCCATAGTGGGGCAAGAACTGTTTTATGGAACAAGTTTGAAAAGCTGGAGGAAATTTCTGCTCTGTCACATAGGTTCAGACACCCACCGACTTTGAGCTGTGAACTTACTAATTGTCATTACTTCAAAAAGAAAAGCACTAAGCTTTTAGAGCTGTCAGTCCCTAGTGATATCATGTGCCTCTCGGACATCTGTGGAGCAACACTGATTGCAGAGAATAAGTATTATCTAAAAGACTATCTTTCTGAGCAGCCAACTATTGAGAGAAAAATCATTTGAATGAGCTAAGCTTCAAATACTGATGACTATGGATAACTTTGTTGAAAGCTTAAATGCCTGGCTTGTTTTCAGACCAAAGAATTTGGGATAAGTTGTGTTGTCAATACTCAGCATGAATTATTGGGATAACTCTCCTAGTCAACTAGAAGGCAAAGTCAGGAAATTCTTGGCTTCAGCCCAGGGAGGGGGAAAGAAAGAAATTATCACAGGTTGTGACTGAAGACTGATCCAGAAAACGCCAGCATTTTTTTTGTTGGTGGAACTTTGTTTTTCTGACTCTAACTCCGTTAAAGACTACAGTCCATGGTAGAGATGGTTATTTCCAGGGGAACTATAGGAATAGAGGTCCCAAGCAGCCTTGGATTCGAGGAAATAAGTGAAGTCAAGAGTCAGTAGGCTTCAGCTGATGGGTGATATAGACCAGGTACAACTCTACTCCATTGTTCTGTTTCTTATTCTGGTAAAAGAGGGGTGTGGTAGTATTGGGTTGGATGACCCTTTGGTCATTCGTTCTCACATATATAGTGGCTATCTATCAAGCTGTCTTGTGACAGCTCAGGCTTATTTGAAGAACCGGAGCATCCCTACACTCCTGTCCAGCTCCAAGAACCATGAGAGTTGGGGTTTCAAGACTCACCAGCAAGAATATGGGCACCTCTTACTGTAGCGACAGCAGTAAAATTGCCACTCCCGATCCAGCACTGACTCAAAGTAGCGGCTCTGGAACCCAGCCACCAGCCCGTTGTTGGAGCACGTTTGGTACCTAAAGAGAAAAAGGCATAAAGACACTGATACATGTAGACCCTTTTCCAGGTCTATCCTGCCATAGTCATGTACTATCCACTGAACTACATCCTTACCAAATTATTCCATTTTACACAAAGAATAGATTTTTTATTCTATTGTAAACTGGCATAGTCACCATTAAATTTCAAGTGGCCCAGCATCTTTCAGCCAAAGGAAGCTTGGGAGACTATATTCCTGTTGGAACTCCATGAATATATAGTTGGATAAAACGGTATTTATGAATTTTACAAATGTAGGACACTATAAATCATTTTACTTGAATTTAAAATAGAAAGCTGATAAAGAGAAATATAATGAATTGGTGAACTTCAAATAAATATTTCATTGTCCCTTTACACAGCACACAAAGCTGGGGTAGACACAGTGACTGTCCAGGGGATCCAGTGAGAAATCTGGGATTGCAGTCATCATTATTTCTGTAATCATTATCCCTAGACCAACTGAATTCAAACTCCATCCAAGGGTTCCTTTCCTGTCTTATCAGTCCTAATTCCTCCAGTGTGGTAACTCTTCAACTCTGGTCCTTAGCCCAGTGGGAAGTTTCACTTCCATTCCACCTGTGCTGCTGCTGGTGCTGGAAGTGGCCCCTTTCATCTTTAAGACATCTTCCTAAGTGTTAGCTTGGAACAGTGCAGCCTTTTCTCCCTTTGCTCCATCTTCAGTACTTCTTTGTCCCCTTCCCCTGATCCTGACCAAAGGTTTGGCACTTTCTGCTGGGATGGTGAGTATGTTGCTTTCTCTCTGGCTATAGAGGTTCCTCACCTTATACAGATAGTAATCTTTCACAAATTTCCATATTCTATTTTCATAACTTAGTACAGGTAAAGAATAGAGGTTTACTTATCCCATGGCTCCTAGAGCATGGTGCTGGCATCTGGTGAGAACCTGATTGATGTATTCTAACACAGTGGATGGCATCACAGGGTAAGATAGAGCACTGCGCCAGCTTGGGTCCTTTCTTCCTCTTCTTACCTCTAATTCTGTCATGGGGACTCTCATCTATTTCCACTGCTCCCAAAGGATCCACTTCAAATCCCGTCCTCATATGAATTCAAGGATTAATTTATAACATAGACCTTGGAGAACATATCCAAACCATAGCACAATCTCTCTCAAAACAGGTTTTCAGTTATGTCTGTTTCTTTGAATTTCCTAGGCTCCCTGGCTATTCATCTGTCCCCCTCTTAGGTGAAACAGCAGCCAGCTGTTGATGGTATGTAGTCTGATGGCTGCTAGACTAATCCTGTTTTCCAAACTAGGTTTCTAGAAACTATAACAAAGTGGGAATGAGTCTCCTGTGTGACTACCGAGGGAGAATCTGAGAAACTATAGCACTGCTGGCATCTATGTTCCATTTCATTCTTACTCATTGATGGTAAGGGAACTTGTAGATCTGCCCTTTTCAGCTATCTATTACTTATGTATTCATTCATACATATGTGCATTCAATACACATTTTATTCCTTATCCATGCAACAACTTATACTTTGCTACTATTCTTTTTCAAACGCTGTATACTACGTTGAGAAAAGATGGGCTTGGTACTTGCTCAAACATATTCTCAAGACTGGTAAGAAGTGTAGACAGAGTAGAGAACTCAACTATAGGAGAGCCTATATGGAAATTGAAACTGATGGTGTTTGATGGTCTAATCCCTTTTATTCTGCATGGATCACAATTTAGGAGTATTAGCACTTTGTCCGGGTACATTTGAAGTGGACCATTACTGTTCTTAGTATGATGGAAAGGTAATCTGGGGAGTCTTCCAGGTTGGTCTATTCATCCTAATCCTAGGTGAGAATGTGAGAGAAAACTTCAATATGAGTGCTAAGAGTCATAGGCAAAGCTTTAATGTATTTTAAGAGATGGTACAGCACACTGATGCTCTCTGTGACTTTCTGCCTTATCATCATTAAGAGAATACTTTTCTCCAAAACAGAGCCCTTTCACACCCAACCTGAGATGTGGTTTCCCTGGAGCTCTTGTTCTACCATTTTTTTTTATGCACTCAGACCCTTACAAGGAAAAGAATTCCTATGGTGGTAAATTCTTTTAAGTAAAATAAATATAGGAAGATAAACTGATCTGTCTTATGAAAGCCCACTTATGAAGGCAATCCAATTTCCACAGATTCCCATCTGGCTGTCAACCAGGCAGTCTGCTCCATAGCCCATGTGAGAAGGGTGCTGTGTCACTTTTTTACATGCTGTCTCAGATAATGCTTCCCTGTGAATAATTCTTGAGCCTTATGGGTTCCAAACCCATGAACATTGGTGAAGGATAGCCAAATATCAACTATCTTCCTCAGATTCAGTTAGATTCCTTAATATTTTGGTAGCACAAGCCTGCCTGCTTGGGACTTTGGTATTGTGGAGTTATTCTTTCTAGTACTGGATCTTGGTAGGGGTATGTTTTCAAAGTGTGAAGATGGACAGGATAGAGTAGTTAAAATCTCAGGCTATGCTTCTGGGCTGGTGGTCCTGTCAGCTGAGTCACCTAAGATGGGTGTCATGCCATCTATGGCCCAGATTGCCCTATCTTTATAGTGGGTATAACAATAGCATACGCTTATTCAAGTTCTTCTGGACATCAAATAAGACAATGCATATAAGATTCCTCAGAATCTTTGATGCTTTCAAACCAGGCACTGTCATCATACTTTTCTTTAGTCTACACAGTGAGTAAGAGCCCACATTGTGAAAGATGGTTCCCTTGTCTTGCATTAGAGAAACATTCATAAATATTCTTTGATATGCTATTCCCCCAGGATGAAGCTCACAGGGTGAATGTCTCAGTCACTCATTTTGTAGCACAGATGCTCTATAATGTCTTATAACCCCAAATATATACTACAGTTCTTGTGGGAATAGGCCATTTAATCTTTATTTTGTATTCTTTGTAATGCCTAAGGTTTGTCTAGTAGAAGAATGGACAAGCAAATGACTGACCAGCTGTCTCCCACTAGCAGAGGCAGAATTAACTTGTAGGAACTTATCACTCAAGTCCACAGAAGGCCCTGGAACTTCCTCCAGGTAATTCCTATGGAAATTGGAGTGGTGATCCATTTTCCTGCTTCTGCCTTCTGCCTCAGCAACATCCTTGTTGAAGGATGATGGTACAAAATGAATCGCTTTATGCATTTCTCTCATCCATTCTTTGCACTCTTGACCATATTTTCAATGGCTTTCTATGAAATAAGGCTCATGTGGACACTGGGCACAGCTGCAGAATTGCAGGCGTGATTGCCAGGCAGCTGGGGAGAGGTGAGGAAAGCTGGCAGGACTGAGAGAGCTGGAGGTTTTGCCTTGCTGAACATACTTCTGCTCAACTGAAAAAAAGAAATAGTTAACGCCCCAACGGCATGATGAGGCTCTTAGTGATTTCGCAGCACAGGCTGATTGTTCTTCAGTGGTCTGCAGAATAGAGTATTAGCCTCTAACTGCAGCTTTCCTGGTAAGTGTGACCTGCCCCTAACTGCGCCCTCAGCAGACTCTAAGGGGACATTCCCTTGGTGTGTGAGGGCCAGGTGCCCTGCTTCTGAGATCTGTCCTCCCTTTCTTTTTCTCTATATCTTCAAGAGGAACAATATCAGCCTTGCTCCGCCTGAAACTAGAAGTTTTCCGAACGGACAATCGCAAGGAAATTACTCTTCCTGTGACAACAACATTCGCAGACATATTCTGAGGAAAACGGTTTTTCTGAGAGTGGTTTATCTCAAGGCTGACACCCTGGCAGTGAAGACAGAAACCACTGTACCTGTAATAGTGAAACAGAAATGATAAGATGCAAAGGAAAAGCTCATCCTGAGGAATTAGCAGGCAGACATTCTAGTTCCTACTCTTCCCTGAGCATGCTTTGGTGAAGCCTCATATAAATCACAATGAGGATTCAGCAAAACAGTGGTCACAAACAGGATCTGGAACTCAGGCTTGCTTTAGACCAAAGTTCCCACTGCTCTTGCTCTCAGGGAACCCCAAAACAGCATCATCACAGTCCTGTTCCCTTCAGTACCCCACCCCAGCTTTCTCTTGTTTGTGTCTTCAAGCCTGAAACAGAAAGAATAACAGAAGTCAAACCTGGAAGGTATGAAGAGTGAAAACAGCTTTTTATTTTATTTTTTTGTCTTTTTGAGACAGGGTCTCCCTGCAGCTCCAGCTGGCCTGGAACTCACTATGTAGACCAGGCTAGCCTTGAACTCACAGAGATATGCCTGCCTCTGCCTCCTGAGTGCTGGGATTAAAGGTATACACCACCACACCTGGTTTAAAACAAATTTTTTAAAGGAGTTTTAGCCTCTCCCTCTGATCTCTGTTAGTCTCAGTTCAAATTCATAGAAAAAAAAAAATCAGGTGCTGGAAAGATGGCTCAGCAGTTAACAGCATTTGTTGCTCTTGCAGAAGACGTGGGTTCAGTTCCCAGCGTCCCTATGGTAACTCACAACCACCTGTAACTGCAGTTCCAGGGATCCAATGATCCAATGCCCTCTTCTGATCTCTGTGGTGCACATACAAACACTCAGGCACACACATACATGTAAAATAAACAAATCTTTAAAAAAATAGAAATTTCAAATTCTTAGTGATTTGGGGCTGGGGTTGAGTTGGATATAGAAGAGAAAGACACAATGGATGGTCTGACTGTGCTGCTCTTTTTCAACTCTACATATATGTCAAGGGTTGTTAGCCTGTCCCCAACCCCATGACTGGGGTGGACTAAGAGCAGCTTTGCCCACATCCTAGACCAGAAGCTGACCCTTTCTCTCAAATTTCTTGCCATTCCTCAAAGTTGGCTAAAACCTTAAATTATAACAAAAAGTTTCATTAATTCTGCTTTATCTGAAGTAATCCTTTGAGTTACTCTCAGACATTTAAAACACCATCCACTGGATTTAAGAATGCCTGGCATGGTGGTACACACCTTCAATCCCAGCACTTGGGAGGCAGAGTCAGGCGTATC